AAAAAAAAAAAACTTTGTCCGACCTACCGACCCTATGCTGAAATTTCATGTTACCGGAAACACACTACTTTTTTTCCTATGCCTTATTTGAAGGAATATAACTCCTGGAAGTCAATGCTAACGTCCCTTTAGCATGTCAATGGAGTTTGACATTGACTTTAGCATTACCATGGCGATATTTTTTAAAATGAAGCATGTCTTGAATTGAAATATACAATGTGAGTAATACTTTTTGTTGTTTATTTATTTTTAAAGCCCACTTTAACTGTCATGTCATTAAACCAGTTAAAGCAGTGGTGTCTAAACGATGGCCCTGAGGCCATTTGCGGCCCGTCATCCATTTTACAGCAGTCCACGACATGACAAAAAAAAAAAAAAAAAAAAGACATTTGAAATCTCAAAAATTCACATGAACTGTCGCATTTGCATCATCCGAGGGGGGACTAATGAATCCTTTACTGGAACTGAGATGATTTTATTCTTCCAATAAATGAATCACTTCATTTATTGGAAGGGGGGGAGGGGGGTGCTCAACATCAACAAAAAGTGACCAATTTTCCAAGTACTTGTAAGATGGCGTTTACTGTAATTTAGTTGTCCCAAACACGAACCTTTGCTGACATGGTCGCAAAAGAGAGAAAATGCTTGTTATTATTCGTGTAACCCATTTAAACCTTTCCTGCACCCTGTAACCTGATCATCTTTATCTCCATGGCATTCAGGGTACTTTCACAACATCAGGAACGTGTGCGCGCATACACACCCACACACGCACACACGCACGCACGCACGCACGCACGCACACACGCACACACCCACACCCACACACCCACACACCCACACGCACACCCACACCCAGTGTAGTTCGACTCTAACTGGGGCGGGCTGCCTGATGAGAGAAATATGGAAGTCCCTGTGCAAACTGGCGCGCAGCTGTTTGAGGAGCAATTGAAATCAAAAAGAAGAATCTTCAGTTGAAATTAATGAACATAGGTAACGAGTAGAGGTGTAAAAAATAATTAACCACTCATTAATTACTAGATTAATCGACAACTGTTCAAATAATCAAATAATTGTTTAGAACCATTGTTGAACATAAAATTGTCCAAATCGTCTGATTTCAGCCTCTCAACGGTAATTATTCTGCAAATTCTATAGTCTTTCATGAAAGCTGACTGACTATCTTTTGTGTTGAAACAAAATAAGACAATTGCAAACATCTACTTTGACTTTGGGAAATAATGGCCGTACCAGAAACCAAATCAACCCCAAAAGGTTGGTGAGCACAGGGGTACTGGCAAGTAGTTTGGGTTTTCCGCAAATAATGGTGTGGGGGGTGCGTTTGGGGACAGGTTCCGAAGAAGGCCAAACGACTGTTATTTTACATATATTTATTCTTGAACACTGCTCGTATGAATGCTATGACTAACGATTCACTTCTCTCCTTGGTTTATGTAGACTGGTATAAATAAATGGACTTTTTGTAAAACATTTTATTTGAGGTCTATGAGGAGTTACAATACACAATAGTATTGTGACAGCACTAGTGACCATGACAAATGACCTCCTTATGGCCTCTGACAAAGGCCTTGTTTCTGGACTTGTCCGATAAGACCTTAGTGCAGCCTTGGTCACACTCGACCACCACATTCTTTAACAAAGATTACAGCATGCTACGATACAAAAGGAGCTGTCCAAACTGGTTTCAATAATCCTTATCATTTCGCTTACGGTTAGTAAATATCTTTAACAATGACTCAATGTTTATGAAACGTAATTATGGTGTACACAGGGATCTGTACTTGGACCAATACTATTAGTTTTTCATACATGCTCTCTCTGGACTGTCTTATTTATCTTATTTTCATTTTACTAACTCAATTTGGCATTCAAATTTCTAAATAAAATACAAAAGTGCTTATCAACAACTACAAGAATTCAGTGAACCAATACCAAGATGTAAGTATGAGCCATTCATGTGACCAGTAAACTTCAGCATTTTAAATGATGATTCATTTGGAGTAGAATATTATTCAGTCGTCCTCTTTGGGTAACAATGTAGCCTTATTTCCGCTTTGGAAGAAGTTCATCATAAAAAGGGGAAATGACTAACGTTTTTGGTATCCAAATGTTCGCTTTCAACTGATCCCTATCTCCAAACTATAATTTTCCCAAATTACCCAAAGCACTGCTCAACCCCCTGCTGTTGGGCTAGAGTGTGACGTAATTAGCCTCGTTAATTCGGTCATTTAGGAGGATTATTTTTTTTAAGCAGATGGCAGTTTTACTTTGGCCATAAAAACAATTGTACCGCAGCAGACAGATATCGGTGGAATAGTCTACTGCGACCGCAACACAATGCCAAAGAAGCGTACAGGACAAACTGGAAGGGGAGGCTTCATGTTGGCTCCATGCGACTAGGCCCGCACCTTGCAAATGAGTAATTAATTAACTTAAATCAAAGAGCCAATTGTTTTCACCTGGGAGCTGCGCGTCAGCATCTCCATCATAAGCTCATCACGAGCTTCCACGGCTCATTCGCTTCAATCCGCACGACAGGGAGACACTTCGGTGTGTTCAGGACTGAAATCACTACTTCATCAGTATCCTAATTCTTACCGTTTAAACATCACCTCCATCTCCTTAATCTGCTTTCGGGAGAACTCCTTGAATTCCGTGTAGGGGTTGAAGACGCGGCTAGCCCGAGGGGGAGCGTTGCCCTCGTTTATGTCGAGCCGTCGGTTTAGTTTCGCAGACAGCTCGGACGAAGTGTCGCCACAAGCTGCTTCGGACTCCTGATATTTGGTCGTGACGATGGTCTCCTCGAGCTCCGGCCTCTGCTCGGTCTCCTCTGATGCGGCCAGTCGCGACTGAAGCTTCTTTGCGAGCTCTTCCGACGCCATACTGTTTCAGGGACGTTGCTCACGGCGACTGACTGTCAAGAGTCGAAAGAATGTAGAGCTGTGGATATGCTTGCAGTGCGACTGGCAAACCGCGTCTCTCTCGCCCACATGACGCAAGCAGCTTCCGCTTATGTGCTTCACAATAAAGCTCAAAGAGTAAAAACTGCGTTAACGGAAAAGGGGACGAAGTAAATCGTCATTGGGTGTAACCTCCTCCGTTCGAAATTAGCTGCAATAGCTTTCAGCACATTCGGGACCTTAATAAGGAGCTGTATACAAAATGGATGGATGTATGGCCTACAATGCTCCAATCCAAGAAAAATTGTGAACACCTTATTAGTTGAGGGTTTGAAATTTGAACCTGTCCGAATTTAAAATTGTTTTTCCATTGCATGTTTTTAACTTGCAACTCTGCTTTAACAAGTCACGAATAAACAACGTTTGATAAAATAACATCTTGTATCTTGTAAACGTGCCGCAAAAAGTAAATTTGTTTTGGATTATTTTGTGGCTGTAAGGAATGCTTAATAAAACATCCACTGCTGCAACATCTATTTATTGCCTTTTTAATTAGTGGCACATTGGTGTGTGTGTTTGCGTGTGTGTGTGTGACAGAGAGAGAGAGAGAGAGAGAGAGAGAGAGAGAGAGAGAGAGAGAGAGAGAGAGAGAGAGAAACAAAAACATGCAATTGTGGGATTAGCATTCGAGCTGAGTATTCTGTATGTGGTTAACTTGTTAAAGATTGCCAAATCTTGTCTGCCAATGCCAGGTTGTATTTTTGCTGTTGTCAATAAATTTTGTTTTAAGGTTCAGTTGCCAGACTGGTGTTGTGTTCATTACAAATATGGCTCCAGGTTTTTTTGTTTTCCCTCCCAATGATAAAGGGTTGCTTGACCGATACTGAGAAAAATATTCATAAGTATAGTTTTAAAATATGATTTAAAATGCTGGAAGGGCTAAACTGGGGATACACAGATTTCTGACAGGGCTACAGCATCCCCCAAACTCCGGTGCAGCGCCGTCCTTGATTGAGTGATGAGTTCGTAGCCTACGGCAGTTAGACCATAAGGTCGAAGTGTGGCAAGGAAACAGAGGTCACTCAACTGATTCCTTTGGCGGTTGAGTCATGTCTTTTAGTGGAGGCAGCATGTCGGTGGTGCAGCATCTCACTCACTGTGGACGAATGAGTCTTGTCATCATTTGAGGCACCCTCAGGGCAGAGAGATATTGCTATAAGAGCTGGCCTCAGTTTGCCAACCAGTATTTCTCTTATCTGTTGATTCCTGCACAGCTCCCATGATATGAAAATCATCACATATCAAACTATTAGCCAAATTACAGTGTGCTATAAGATATACTGATATCAGGCCCACAGCATTCACATCATTCATCATGAATCCTACTACCTGTACATCATTTACAAAAATCTGTGAATTACAAATTGGATCCATTCCACTTTGCATATGAAATACACTGTGGGCCAGATGATGCAGTCACTGTGCTCACCCATATTGTAACCAAACATCTGGCTCAATCAAATAACTATGCAAGAGTCATCTTTCTAGATTTTTCATTGGCCTTCAATACATTTCAACTCAGCATTTCAACCCATATTTGATTCACTGGTATGCATATTTTCTCATCAAAAGAGTACAGCTGGTCAGGGTAAATAAAATCCTTTCCTCTGCAATCACAAGCAATGTCCCCTCTACCCTCTCCCAAGGCTGTGTGAGTTCAACTCTACTCTTTACCATATACACAGATAATTGCCGCTCATCCTCAAATAACCAATTTGTCATAAAGTATTCAGATTACACCATTTTGATAACAGTGCAGAATAACTCCCCGAATCAACAGGGAGTGGACATGGTTGTGACATGGAGTCATTGCTCTGGAAATACACACCCCAAAAAAACAGAGGAAGTGGTTTTCAACACCAAACCCTCCCTTAATCTATAGTTCCCAAAGTCATTCATAATTTTTGTATAAAATAGATGGAGTCATTCAAATATTTGGGAGTTATGATTGACTCAACATTATCATGCAAACATCACACTGACTTCATCTGCGGAAAGATAAAACAATGAATATATATTGTATTTTCTCTATCGCCTCAAGTCATTTGGGGCCACACAGCATGTACTGTAGTCCTTCTGTTTTTCACCTCCATCACCTTTAGTGTGCTGCTGTACTGTTTGGCTGCCTCACAATCATTGCACAATCTGGTCTGAGACACCTGATTAAAATCTGGAGCAAGATTGCAGGCCACAACCTATGGATAAACTGTTCAAAGCTGCCTATCATAACAGCACCATGCGTTTGGGTAAGAATATCATCTCTGACCTTAGGCATGCCCTAATCAAGGAAAATGTGCTATTACCATATGGGCATGGGTACTGTGTGGCTTGCTGTAACAGGATAAGGTTCAAACAGTCCTTTTGCAGTCAATCGTAAAACTAAACAAAGCTTTCTAAAAATCACACAAAATCAATGAGGCGTTCATGAGAATAGAGGCTCTTCATACGTTAAATGTTGATGTTTATAAATGGTGTTTATAAATGGATTGCTTGCATATGGTGATGCTGCTGTTTTAATGCAAGATTAATTTTAGATCTTGTTTCTGACAATCAAGTACTGGTATCTATCTATCTATCTATCTATCTATCTATCTATCTATCTATCTATCTATCTATCTATCTATCTATCTATCAGCACTGTGTGTACTCAACTGTATTTTAGAGCATTTAAAACAACCACCGCTGTATACAAAGCAAAAAAAAAAAAGCATGGCGAATTTTTAAAAAAATAAATAAATAGATAAGCACCCGCCCGTGACCCTTGTGAGGATAAAGCGGTTCAGAAAATAGATGGATGGATCAATAAATAAACAAATAAATCCAGCAGTACCGTTTTAAATCAGTGTACTGTCTGGGAGGAATAGCATCTCGCATCTTGTGTAGAAACCGGAAAAAAATCACGTTTCTTCCTTCAAAAGAAATCAAAGTGTAAAGTTCGCAGTTATTAAAGTTTGTCGACCTTCAGTTTTATTTCGAAGCAGCTCTTGCGGACGCAGCGTGAACCACTTCCTTCTAGGGAAGCGAATGACGTTGAATGACACATTTTTATGAGTTCATTCGACTCAAGCAGGACAACTGAGATGGAGGAAAACTATTAAATGAATGACATCTAATCAACGACAGCGACTGGTTAGTGCTCTGCTGCAGACAATAAAGAGGACGGTAAGACATTGGTATATATAATATATACGAGCTGTCGCTCGATTTTACTCTACTGTCTATACAGTATACCTGTTTACATTGACAGCTGTTAATGTAAATATGGTGAAGAAGAAGGTAATTCACACGTGACCTTATTGCAACTGCGGTTTCAGAGGTTAGCAGGCGTAGGGCGTAAAGAAATGCCTCTCGTATAACGGGTGGAATCGACCGCGGGGAAACCGTCGGAAGACGTGAGGATTAAATAGTGTATTCGGAACCCGTGTACTGTACAATTCGGGCTAAAATGATGTTTTCGTTGATTAATATAGCTGTGTCTTTTATTGTTTTCCCATACAGCTAAAACCCGCATGCAGTTTCCGCTGGCATTGTAGCAAACCAGAAGGATGAACTCCTCGCTCCCGCGGTAAGTTTGAATAGTGTAGAACTCCAACAAGTGTATTATTCAACTTTTCACTGAGTTGTGAATCTCCATCTCTTCATTGACAAGCGAAACACTGTCAGAACATGAATTATGAAAAGTTTGGAAAGTCCCGGATTAGTAGTCAGGTGGTCAGTTTTATATTTAATAATAGCCGGAATTAAAAATCGAACCATTTGATTTTGCTTGACAGAGCTTACACAGAAGTGAGTGTACGTAAATCTACTTTTCAATATGAAACGTGTGCATGTACTCACCTTTAACCTTGACGTGTTGTGTGTGTTATTGACAAGAGGCAGGTAGACCTATTGTCCCTTTTAGCTATTTTGTATTCAACAGCCAGGACAGAGATGTGCGTGTCACATTTTTACAGTATGAGTTCTGTAGTCACCACCATGTTTTTCCTCTTTGCCATCAGTCTTTGAAAAAAAAACCCACTAAAGGCCAAAGGAAAAAAAAAGTTTTAGAGTCTCAACCCTCAAAATGACATGGAAGCACCTCCCCTGGTGCTAATTTTCATGAGAATTTTCCTCTTGTGGATCATACACAAGTCCAGCCCATATTGTTTTCATGAGTGTACAGACCTGTCTGACTTCACCAGAACTGCAAGCGTGTTAGCAATGTGACAGCTGTCTCGAAGGTGATGTTTTAAGTTCGTGTTAATGAATAGGTCTGCTTTATGTGGGACTAGATGAACTGCTGGTATCTGACAGAATAAAAAGACGATGGTATGCGTTATATCAATGAGAGTTGTCATGATGATAGAAAACGACAGCGTATGACTTAAAGAGCAGCCTGGAAGAGGTTTTAGTTCAAATAAAGGGTGGTAATTTGGTGTGCTCTCTTAAATCCAACAGTCAATGCCTCAGGTATGTTAATAATACCTGTTTCAACCTGCAAGAAGGACATTGGCAGCTGTTTTCTGCTCTTAAAACATTACGTGAAGCAGGCACGTGGCTCAACACAAAAAAAGGGCACCCAAAATTATTAACAGCAGCATTAATAGTTGTCATTTCCGTTAACCTCAAATAATTGGCCATCTGATATCAAAAGTCTTTTGGATGGAATAGATGGAGAGTTTAACTCATTCATGCACCAATAATGATAACCTGTAAGCTGATAACATGATAGGCTGTCCACTGTAGTAACCACTGTCCCTGAAAGGGTTAAAAATAAATATTTTAAATATTGATGAATATGAAGAAAAAAATTTGGCTCTTGGCAAAGGGCATATTTTTCTCCTCCGGGGCAAAACGACTGATGCTAGAACACCACCAGGGGTCTATCTGTGCATGTGCTTGATGTGAAGCATAATCCTACTGAATCAGACTTACTGTCAAGACCATGATGCGTCAAGCGATGAAAGTGACACTTCTGGTTTGTGGGAGTGGAGCGTCTTATAAAGTGTATGAACAATGATTTCCTGCTGAAATGACCAGAATGATCTGGCTGTGTTTTTCTCAGACACTTGAGTCACCTTTTCGTATTCTGGAAGTGGAAGAGAAGAGCGGATGTTTGTGTCTTCCCAGGTGCTGCATTTTACTGCAGGAAGGTCTGCTCCACTACAGTAGAAGCAGGTGAACAGCTCATTCTGTCTTTTCTTGAGCGGCATCCAAAAGTATTGTAACAGTAAAGCTAAAGCTTATTTTTTGCTTTCGACTGAAAACATTTGGGTTTGATATAATTAAAAGAAAAAAATGTAGATGTGGATGTTTCATCTTGTACTTACATTTGGATTGCCTGCTCAAGTACATTTTAGAAGACCTTTTTTAGACAGCTTTTTTTTTTTTAAACCCACTGTTGTCTTGTGAGCTATAAATATTGCCACGTGACTGACAGGTGTTTTTTTTGGTGTTGTTGTTATTCAGGTGTGTCCTGTTACATAAAAAAATAAATAGTGCTGAAGGTTTCCACTCAATTTCAGGTTAGAGTTTTGCCTGTGGAGACAACATTTATACGAGTTAGAGGTGAGCTCAACATGAAAACCAGAGAGCTGCGCAAGAGTGGAAAAAATACGCAGTTCAGTTGTGAGGCTGAGAAAAGACACATATGATCAAACAAAGCCATTAGCCAAACAGTGCTCTTTGCGATTGCAACCATTTAACTCGTCCTGGAGAGGAAAGTAACCACTGATGTCGAGTGTCGAAGTAACAGTCGTCAGATGGGTGGAAATGTACAGATACAGGTTTAAACAATTCTGTGAGAAAGTTTCATCGACCGATGTTAACCGTTATACCACAGTGATGGAAAAGCTAAAACTTTGAGAATACTGTAGGTTGTGTGTCGGATCCAGATGTATATTCATGGACATGCTGAAGTTGAACTGTTGATATCTTGCCTCATAGTCAAACCCAAATGTTTCAGTCGCCAGCAAAAATAAAGCTGTTCAAATACTTTCGGAGGTGAATTACCCTGTATACCGGTACCCTTATAAGACACTTCAATTATTACACCAGCACATTTTATTGTGATCCAGTAAAAAAGCCGTGTTAAATAATTAGCCATGATAGATTAATGCTGTGTTTTGACACAAGGATTTGACCATGTTTACCAATACGTATAGATTTAGCTTTCAATTAGATTTCATTTAAATTTTTTGTAGATGCGACTGAAATCCACAAGAGGAAGCTGTTCCTATGGTTCAGCCATCTTCCCCAGGAAGAGAAGCAGTTTGGAGGCTACTTTAGCCCAGAGACAATGCACGTGGACCCGCTGATTCTGGAGAGGAAGCCAGAGGAAAGAGCGGGACTCCTCAGCTCCCCCCTGAAAATCCAGGAATCTTCCAGCTCTTCTCTGACAGTCGAGCAGCTTTTTGAAATGAATGGAGACCAGTGTGAGGACCGAGGATTAAACGTGCTGCTGTACGGCGCAATCGGAACAGGTAAAAGCACAATTGTGCGGAAGCTGGTGCTGGATTGGTGTGCCGGGACCACGCTGACTGACTTCAAACTGCTGATTCCCTTTTCTTGTGAGGATCTTGGCGAGCTGACGAAGTAAGACATTTTTGTATTGTGGGTAAATGTGCTTGTGTGTGTTCTCTCTGGGTACAAGTTAGGTTCTGAGAAGGCTCTAGTGGTCAAGTTGTCCGTAGATGCGTCTCTTTGCGTCAACCCTGTAATATTACTGATGACCAGTCTAGGGAGTCCCCCGCCTTTCACTCTCGACCAGGGTTCACCAAGCTTTTTGAAACTGAGAGACTTCCTGGGTATCGATCCATTTGAAAGTTAGTAGTTTGATACACACTTTTTAAATAACATTATTATTGTGTGTTATTATTCATACATAGTGATATTCATTGATGCAAAGACAAAAATCACAATACTTTCTCACCATAATTAGGAATCAGATCAATATCAATGTGGGAGACTTTTTTTTTCAGTACACTGTATATAAATCTTAGCCAGTGTTTCCATTTTCAAATGATCACTTTCAAAACATTCCCAGAAAAATCACAATGTCCCCTCATTGGCGAGATATTCTTCAAACAGTCCCGCCGGCCACTCATGTGGTCCATGGGGGCTGCCTGGTGTGTGCGAGCACCACATTGGTGACCAACTGCTCAAGACAAACCGGGATTTGCTTTAGCTCCTCTGTGACCCTGAATCAGATGAGCAGTACTGAGAATGTGTATGTCAAAGAATAATTTCAATTGCTTTCACACGACAACGAAAGAAAGTAAAGTAGTGGCAGGCCAATGGGCCTGAAGGAATATTTACAGTCAAGCCTGCCTCAAAAACTACCCACACATGAGTATTTTGCGGTAAACTCAGTACTGTGATGTGGCAAGGATCCACATACAGTAAATATTCCCATCCCCGGAATTCTATGAAACGGAATATCCTTCACCCGGAACAAAAGCCTGTGCATTAACATTTTGACTACGATATTACATGTTACCGGAACTTACGTAAGCGGAAATTCCACTACACGTAACCCGGATTGAGACGTCATGCCGCGGGAGCTGAAATAAACGCAATGCCCATCCGATGCTACGGAACGACGACACCGAGACACATTTTCACTTCGCGTTTTTCGATCATCAGATTCGAAACGACGACGTGTAAGTGAGTTTTTATTGGCGTGCGTTTTACTGTAATTGTGAATGATTTTAACTTTATTCACTTAACGTCCTGTAGAACGCGGCACTAGCTTAAAAGCAGCACCCACTCGACA